CTGTGTGTCATAAGCCTGGCGGGCCTCCAGGCTTCACTTGTGCCCCCACCAGGCTAAGCTTATTTAATTAAGTCTTTTTAAAATGTTTGCATTTTTAAAACTTTATAGTTAGTGTTCGGGTATCAATCTTCCATTCTTTCAATAACACATAATTACCAAGAGATATTTTCAAATTTTTTAGCTCAAAAACACAACAGGCTGCTGAATGAATGACTGGCCTGCCACCATCTACCAGTTTAGCAAGATTTCTAGGGAAACCTTGCATTTCATCCCACTTTGAATTGATTACAGGACAACTGAAGAAGGAACTAAAAACAACCTTTCCTCATTAGCATTATTGTAAACTTGATCAAGTTAACCCCAAACAGTGCAATCAAACCGTTGGTATAGTAAGTCTGAGCTAAATGTCAGAATCACGTAGTAGCTTGGCCTTAAACCTTTAAACCTAACTTCTTTTTATCAGTAACAATTACAACAAAATGTAGATAAACAATCGTAGTTTAAAAAGTCTTAACATATTAAAAAATGAGAATTATTTAATTTTAATGAGATTGTTAAGACTGTAATGAAAGGAAGATTTCTTACCTGACACAAGATCCAAATACTCCAAACTACAAACCAAGTGATCTCCATTTGTGAAAGTTCACGTGATTTACCTTTGTGACCAAAATCTCTTGGAAAAAACAAAACCTTCGCATCTGCATCTGTTCAGAGGAACAATTTCTCTGAAGATTACTTTACATGTCTGCAGTCTGCGCACAAACCACCAGATGTACAGACATAAAAAGCCACAAAAAAAAAGCACACACAAATGAGAAGTACATGCACTAAAAGTCAAAAGTTCCTTTTTCTTTTCTTTTTTTCTTTTGTCAGATTCATCATTTTAACTGGGTTTCATTTGGTTTCTTTTGTGTCCATTTTCAGACTTTCCCAGCTGCAGCAAATGAGTTCTGGTAAACTTCACGTGAAAAGCCGAAAAACTGCAGAATATGGATGATTCAAAATGTAAGGATCGGCGTCCATAGACACAGAATCTGACAGAGCTGCAGATCTTCCTTTTTTCACATCCTCTTTCAAAACCACGACTGACTGAAGTAGATAAAATTCTCACAAGAAAAAGCAGCGGAAACATTTTCACTTTGAGACGATGTGACATAAACTTCAAAGAGAGGCATGAACCTAACTGATGATAGGCAGGACTCTCCTCCGCCGCAACATTCATGCATCCCACAGCAACACAATATGAACATGAAAAACACTGAAAAGTTCAAGAGCAGCAGGATGAAATGTATTGCATTTTTATTTTGCCAGCCCTAAATAACAGCTTTGTTTTCAGATACCATGTTGACTGATTGCCTGGTTAACCTGCTAGAAGCTACAGAGCTCACAGCATTGACAGCAGCAACCATCCTGTTGCTGCTGTCAAAGCTGCTGAACTCAAACCAGAAGAAAAAGAAAACTAGAAAGACGTAGATTGTCACCATCCTGAAACAATGGCCTTGAGTAATTTTCTTTTCTTTGTTTTTTTTTTGCAGATCTTTCAGGGGGTGAAAAAGGTGGTGATATTATACCACACAGACGTCAAAAACAACTTATCTTACCTCTAAGCAACAGCTCATTGCAACTAAGGTAATTAAAGTAAAAAAATCATTTTTACATTCAGACACCAGCAGGATGTTTCAGGCAGAAGCAGCCAGGAAGAAAATAAGGAAAGAATTTGTAAAAGACAAATAAATGTGGACAAGAGATATTTATGAAAGCATTTATACACCTCATTTAGTTGGATTTATTAAAACAAACAAACAAACTAAAAACTGCATGGAGAGGGTCTTGACATCTAGTGCCCTGATGTGGAGAGTAATATTATTATTAATATTTTATAAGCAGGTATATTTGGTGCAAAAGTATTTGTGGATTTAACTGTGAAATTGAATTTATAGGATAAATTCTGCAGGACTTGTACAATTCTGCTTTCACAAGTCCAGAACAACTCTTCCAACTCTTCAAATTCCTAAGTACAAGTACACAAATTGTATTCCTCAAGCCATGCATTCAAACGAAAATCTTAATTTCACCGCAAATCATTCCATAGTTTAGGAGTGCAATTGATTTACACACCTGTATTGGATTTTCCCACAAATAAAATAGAAACACAGACACAAGTCAGTGAGTCCTGCATAATCTGATGTGAATCAAAATGCTGCTGTACAAGCCACGCCTACTTTTATTGTGGCTCTCCTATTTGAACCATTGGTCCAGTTTGGATTTATTTCTTTAGTTTGGTGTTTCTCTGATTTTATCCTTTGTTAGTTTGAGGGGATTTTTTTTCCTCTCTGTTGTTTCGTTTCCCTCAGCCCTGCCAGCTTGCTGCTACTCTCAGCTGTTTCCAATCTCTTGATTTCCCTCTGTCTGCACTTCTGCTCAACCGCTTTCCATCCTCGTCTGATTAACTAAATTGGTTTCTTTGCCACTGGTGTCATTCTGAGAATGGTGGAGGCTTTAATTCACTTCCTAGTTAGGCTACAGGCAGAGCAACACATGCTATTGGTCATGCTGTGTCGCAGTTTCAACACATCTAACCACCCACCTACCCACTGAGGGAACACACAAGTCACATGTCCAACAAGTCAATGTGACTTGTTGGACAGAACAAGTCACATGGACAGAACAAGTGTTACAAGAAAAAATAAAACACACGCACATGTTTGCATGGCTGTCTTTGTGTGGACTTTCCATTGACTTTCATTCATTTCTACAGCCTAAACTTTATCCTTATCCTAACCCTAACCAAAACTTAGTACTAAATCTGACCCCTGACCCACAAACAACGTTTCCCCTTATGGGGACCAGGCTTCGGTTCCCCACAGGAATCTGTGGGTCCCCACAATATAGTATGTCAGGAAAATGGCCCCCACAAGTTATTACAAACGTGCACACACACACACACACACACACACACACACACACACACACACACGCGCACACACACACACACACACACACACACACACACACAGAGGCCTGCAAAGTGACAGAGTTGGTAGCACTGTTGCAAAACTATAGACAATGAATGAAAGAATGGTTAGATGGATGGAATCCAAAATGAAATATTAGAACGTCTTAATAAATTTATGCTTTTCCTTCCTTTAACAGTTTTCTTATTTCCAACCAAAACATGGATTATGGGCTGTCAGAGTAGCTTTTATTGAAACTCCAAATAAAAAATTATTTGGAGTTTCAAATATCTGTCTGATTTTTAAAATATATCAGACTGATATATTTCAAATGTTAATTTCTTTTAATGTTGAGCTAAATTTAATAAAAAACCCAAATTCAGCATCTCAGAAAATTAGAATATTACTTAAGACCAATACAAAAAAAAAAGGATTTTTAGAAAAGTTGGCCAACTGAAAAGTATGAACCTGTCGTCTCCTGATCTGGTGAAGCTACAGATGAATTCACCAAATGTAAAGCTTCAACTTATAGTCTCTGTTTGTGGCTGTAATGTCATTAAAAGAAGTACAGCAAAGTTCATCATGTATAAATCAAACTATTCTCAGGTTAATCAGGTCATTATGTTCTGCTATGCACCATGACATTTGAACGGGAATTGTAATGCTAATTTTAATAAATCTTTGACCGAGTCCAACTTCACCATCACTGACTTGTTATTGTCAATCACATTAAGATTTGTACTGACACAATGGTCTTTTTTTTAAACACAGGCAGGACATAATATGCAAGAACAGGGGGGAAAAAAAGCCTAGAAAAGGAAAATCAAGTTTAAAGAAAAGTTTCATTCTGTACAGAAATCTGGGGAAGCAGCTTGGAGTGTTAAGTCACAAGGGCCAGAGGATGTTTTACCTGATGCATGATGATCAAAACACTCAAAAGTTTGAGTGTTGTCCATTTGTTTAAAAACCAGTCAATTAAAAATTTTTATATTCTTCTGAGAATCCTCGATGGAGCCTCTTTTAATACTCAGGAAGCACGCAAAAACATTTGGATAATGCATTCCTTAAATGTATGCAGGATTCAGGCACATCATCAAACACTCAGACACAAACTGACTCAAGGAAACAAGAGGCATCAAACAGCAACTGTTATTTGAAGCTCTGTATTTCTTTCATTTCTGACTAGTTTCCTGATATGCCAGAAGAATCATTATAAATCGGATAGTTGTTTTTTCAGATGCACATGCTCCTAAGTTTGCTCTCGTTTTCACATGAGGTGTGCAGGAAGAGCTGCACATCAAACAGGATTTGATGGGGCATCTGTTGAGCTAAACAAAGCCAAGGCACAAAACTGTCCCTGCTACTGAAATCTCAGGCAGTTAAAGACACAAATCCATCCGAGCTCATCAGAATACCATTAGTAACTTTCCCCAAGACAAGTTTATCCCATTTCAGAAACATGATTCACAGTGCTATGATGAAAACATTGAAGGGAGTTTACACTGCAGTGGTACAATAAGGGAAAGTTGGTCTGTTTCAGTTCCACACCTGACTGATAGAACAGTGAAAGGCGACACTAAGCAAGTGGGTTTTTAGCCTCAATTTAAAGAAACTCAACTTTTCAGCAGCTTTGCTGTTTTCTGCAGATTAGAGAGAGCAGAAAAACTGAATGATTCTCCATGTTTAGTTCTGGAAGGACCAGGGGCCTTGTGCATAAAATGTGCATGCGTACAAAAATTGTGTGCCGCCATATTTTACACACAAGCCTGCACAAGCTTACACAAAGCACTTTGCATACAGTATTGATGCATAGACTCACATCCTGATGTCGAAGCCACAGCTGTAATGCAGTTTTCCGGTAATTTCTTGGGAACTTTCCACAGTTCTCAACTTGCTGTCATTAAAGTCATGCGGCTTTGACTTCAGAAAAAGTCGTTCTACACGGATTTTTAATGAACATTGTTAAAATAAAAGCTGTGTTCCCAAACGTTCCACTGTTAATAAAGTAATTACTATTCTGGAAAAAAAACAAACGCCATACAAATCTAAAATGTATAACTTTATATATATATATAAAAAGTGAAACATGACATTTAACCTTTTACCATACATCAGAAATTATTGCATCAAGATTTAGTAAAGCAGTACAAGAAGCATATATTATCAACTCAGATGTAGTCCACAGGTTGACTCGCCTTTGGCTGGCTACCAGGATTTCATATTTCTGAAATGTTTCTAATCCATCATTTAAACAAAACTATAAACACAGAATGCAAAAGAGATTAAAAAAAAGTACTTTATTTTACCAGCTCCACACTAGTTTTTTTTTTTTTTTAAACCAGTGATACTGCAAATCTTTCAGTGTATGAGACCACTATTTCAGTAAGCTACAAATAAAACATTTTTGGCCAGCCTAAAACAAAACAAAATAAAAGGCTCAGAAAGACTTCTCTAATGGGGAAAACTCATAAAGCCAAACTCTGCAGTTGCTCAAATGCCAAATTGGCTGAACTAAAATTCACAAAACAACATCTCACTGATGTCTTCACTTCAGCACACTTAAACTCATGAGGCTACTTTTCCTCAGTACTGCTCCATTTACATCATGTCATCATCATCTCCTCCTCCATACATGTCTGCCAGTTTCTTGAAGCGAGGGCCCCAGTCGCTGAGGCAGTCATAGTCCTGGTCTCCATCGCTTGACGAGTTCAGAGATGAAATGCTTCCAGCTTCAGAACCGCCTCCTTCATAATCAAACACCAGCAGGGAGTCGTAGGGGGGAGCAGTCGGGTCGTTATCTGCCGCCTTCAGGTTCTGTGTCGTAGAGTAGAATATGTTATAATGCTTTCAGGGTTATTTTTCAACAGAAGTAAGTTCTTTAGTGGTGTTTTGAACTCACATCATCAATGAAGCCACCAATATCTTCTGGGTTAGCGGGCCGAGTTTGTACACAAAAGGCCGTGACTGAAAAACTGGAACCACTTCATCCCTGACCACGTGGGGACGGTTGTCCAAACCACGGTGGAGAACACCCAGATCAAAGTAGTCCTAATGGAGAAAAACGCAAAATAAAGCTTCCTTTTAGATTACAAGACATAAAAATAGTCACTGGATTAAACCACTAGAAGAGCTTGTTGAGAGTAAATTAAGATTTAAATACATTCTCATGAATAGTTATAGCCCATCAGCCCCATGTAAAAAATATTACATGTAAACAATGTTCCAGACTATAAATATCAATTATATAAGCAGCATTTACCTGGTCCTCCTCTCCGCCTCCCTCCTCATCATAGAAAAAGATGTCATCTCTGATGTCGTTGTCTAGGAGCAAAGGTTGTTCCTTCTTTGGCTTGTTTTTATTTGCCAACAGTAGCAGCAGCAGGACCAGCACTGAAAGAGCATAAAACTGACATGATTTCTCATTTCAAGAGCAAAATAATCCCATGAAGCTGGAAGGTGACAACCACTATGGAGTGCTGCCAAAATATGTCCTGGGTGATCTCATCAAGTCTGCACATGTGACATAATACAATCTACTCCAGTCAAGACTGCTGGGTGGCCAGCATTCGACAGAGAAACTATTCCAGACAAAAGCAGCTCAGGTCACCTTCAGAGTGAAAATATCTGACACGACTCTCTTCAAGTAGCAAATTCAGGAAATTATTATTTTAGTTAATCCATAGTTGAACTTTTTCATTAAGAGATCAGATAGATCAAAACCATTAACAATTTTTCTTCAGACCAACTTTCACTGACAGAACTCATATTCATCAAGAAACGTGGTAAATTCCTAAACTCACTGAGTAGCAGGAGGACGCCACCGAGTATTCCCAGGATGACCGGCATGCTGGAGCCAGCAATAACTTTGTCTTTGCAGCTCACTTCTTCTCCACTGCAGTCACACAGTTCAACTTTGATTGTGTTGAGTAGACTCTTGAGCTGGTTGTCTGAAACCACCATACCCACCGTGTAAGTTCCACTCTCCAGCTCACGTGTCAAAGTCAAAATAATAGCAGTTTCTGAAAAAGAAAAATATACAATAAACACACTTAAAATTACTTTGTCAATACAAGTTTCTTTTCTTCAAGCCCTATTCCATTCCCACCACAAACATTTAGATTTGTTTTATTCAGCTGATTTTTAAGCAATAAATCTATGTTACTATAGGCAGGTTTTATTTGCAGTAGTAACTTTGGGTGGGTCAGCTGTCTCCCAGACAAACAGAAAATTCAACAGGCCTTTGCAATCATTTACATCACCGTCATTACAGAAACAGCAACAAAATATTGTGATACAATTGTTACGTCATTAAGTTTACATACTGTTGTCGTTCATCCTCGCGGTCCAGTTGGCCTTAGCAGTGTCCTGTAAGACAACGCTGTATGGAAAAGTAAAGCCTGGTCCATCTTCATCTGTTACAGTCAGCAGCTGAGGAACTGTCTTCTTGTTACACATCTATGGAAACAAAATGAATTTAAAACACTGATGGGATTATGCTGCAGTATATTTGTAATTTTCTATTTAACAATTTACAAATAAGTCAAACTACAACTCTAAAGTTCCTGAAAAGATAGGTACAACTAGGCCTGTCACGATAACAGATTTTGCTGGGCGATATATTGTCTCAAAAATTATTGCGATAAACGATAATATTGTTTGAAGACCTTTTTACATTGATTTAATGGAAATTACGTAATAATACATGCGATTTCCTGCCAAAGATAGAAACACTTTACTTTCAAAAGACACTTAACACTGGGACTGATACACAAAATAAATAAAACAACCAAAACCAAAATAAAATTGATTCTTAGTCTCCATTAACAATAAATGTACTTGAATAACAACATAAAGCCAAAGTGGAAATAAATACTGCATTCAACCAAAAGAGTGCAGATTATGAAGTCTGTATAGTTTATTGGCCTTCAGTAATCATTAGATTTAAATAGAGAAGAATCCGACTTCCTGATGCAATAGTTCAAACTACTGGATTTTTTACCCCGAACGACAATCTTAGAACGTCATTCGTTCTAAGATTGTCCCTTGTGTGTTACGGTAAATCGTCGTAGCCGCCCCTATCTAAATCAAGGATTCATCCAGACTGGGAGAGTGACGCAACTTGTTGAATGTGACCGGTAGCCAATCAGAAAGCGCGGATTCTGTCATGGAGGGAATCCCGAACAGCTGACACGGTGCAACCCGAAGTCCAGTAGGCATCGGAAACAACATGAATGTTTATTCAACAGCTCGTGCAAAGAAAATATAAATAACTAGGGGAGGAGTTGGCGCGAAATTTCTACCAGATACCCGGTAACTTTTCAGCTGTTCTTCGTTAACGTGACATAAATAGGTTCTAATGATTTTCATTCAGTCAGACTGACACTCGCCACATGCATTGCAGGTAGATTGTAGTAAAGAATTGATTAATGCTGTTTCAAAATTAGTGAATTGGACTTGTTATTGTGTCCATTGTTGGACACAACACGGTTTCAACCGAACTGTTATAGCGAGGATTTCTGTCGCTAATGTGTCTCAGGTTTTGATAATGGGCCGACAATCGGCGACATAAGATTGTGCAGCACGCGCTGGGCATTACACTAAGGAAATAAGGGTCAGTGGAGAGCACCGGAGTGGAGCCTTTTTTCATTCAGTGTCATCAACAGTAAGAGAAAAAGGCAGGAAGAAACGATATAGACGATAATTGAAATGAGGTCGATAGTTTTAACTTATCGTTCGATTTATTGACTTATCGTTTATCGCGACAGGCCTAGGTGCAACATGTAAATTATCTGGACCTGGTTTGGTTGGAGGGTACGTACATTAATTAAACGATCCTCAATGACGGGGCCGTTGTCGTTGACGTCCTCAAGTGTAATGATCAGAGTTCCAGTTCCTGTAGCTGGGATCTGATCTGGAGACATGATAAAAAGTTATTATAGGTAGTTATTGACACTTTCAATGATCGCTGAAGGAAAGTGTAAAAAATCTCAAAAGAAAAGTTTGAGAAATTCAGAACTGCTACAGATAATACTCTAAAGAGCTCTTTTCAAGGAAAGCTTGACAGTTTGGGCTCAAACCATTAAATTAAATTCCTTTTAACTTGCAGTTATTTATGAAGAATTCCTCCAAAACCATTAAGACAGTTAATTCTCACACCTACCATCATCATATGCACCAATCAGGACTGTGTATTTCTCCTCTTTGACAAATGGAGATTCTCTGTCCATGTCTTTTCTCACTTTTATCACACCAGTGTCCCTCTCAACGTGAAGCCAGCCAGCTGGGTCTTTGAGCATTTTATACCTGAACATCAAGCACAAAAATGAATGTAAATAACACAAAGCAGGACTTTGCAAGCTGTGTGATCAAGAAAAGAAATTACTTATCTACAACATAAATGTAAAATATGCATGCTGTGACTCTTCATGTTGGAGGATTTTCAGGTTCCTACGTGACTTTCTGTTTGCGTCCAATGTCTGGATCAGAAGCTGTGTACCGCACCACAGTGCTGTTCACAGCAAGATCCTCAGGTTTAGAAACCCGTTCCTCTTTTGGAGCAAAGATGGGAGGTTCATTGACATCCTCCACAGTCACCACCACTGTAGCAGTGGAAGTGATCAATGAAACAGCGAAAGGCTCCTCATTCACCACGGTGACCAGCAGAGTGTGCTTACTGACTCTCTCAAAGTCCAGACCCTAAAACCACATGGTTTAGAGGAAGAAAGGTTCAGTATTAACTCAGGCATGAACAGCTCAGGCTGAACTTCAGGGTCACTGAATTTTGCTTAAAAACAAAATACTTTGAAAAAACTACATTTGGTCCAACAGTCAGAACCTGTTGGACCAAATGTCCAACAGGTTCTGTTCCTGTTCCTCTTACCTTAGCAGTAGTGATGATTCCTTCTTGTTTGTTTGTTCCTGTTTCCACAGTAAACAGATTTTCTTTATTTCCATCAATGATCTTGAACTTTGCATTCCAGGCTGGGCTTTGAGGCTCATCACCGTCCGTCACCAACATCTTAACAACTAGAGCGTCTACTTTATTCTCTTCAACTGTGGCCGTGTACTGAGAGGAGACAGAAGATGTGTAAGACAAGTTGTCAGACAGCGAGCTCATTTTACCATCATTTATCATTTTATGTCATATGTACTTTAAGGACTCACTAATAGCAGTGAGAGTGATCTACTGTTTACTGACCATGTGCTGCACAAATCAATGTGATCAATAGATTTGAATATAATATTTGCGAGTAATTACTAGGCGACAAAATCAGCAATAAATTTTAAAAAAAGCAGTTTTACTCACAGAGGCCTCCGTAAAGACTGGAGCGTGATCGTTGCTGTCCATCACTTTGATAAACACTTTGGTAAATCCAGTCAAACCTTCTCCTTTCAAGTCAGCTACCTGAACATCCAGTGTGTACAGAGAATTTTTCTGTTGAATGAAATGAAATGTTAAACAAGATACTTTTAGTTCATTGTCACTGAAGTGTAGAAAATCAGCTTCCTAAAATACTCAACACTATTTCAATCCTCTTATCACTTGCAGAGCTTTTAAGAAAAACTTAGCATAGAAAGTATTTAGGTTCCAACAAACAGCTCATTCTGAGAAACGTCTCTGCTTAAAGCAGAGAACATAGAATCTGATACAGGACACTGCAGGAGAGGTGTGGAAATGATGGACAATACTATTGCCCAACTAATAATTAATAATTCAAATGAAGAACTAACTTATAAAGACTGCTGTTGACATACTTAAAAAAAAGACTTGTCTTTTCATGTCAACCTCAGTTAATTATAAGATAAATATCATCATGATAAGTCACAATATTTAAGAATAATATTGTAACTTTTTGTTTCTTGGGATTTTTTATTCTTGGGAATTATTGAATGATCTGTTTTTAAATGCCTGACAAGACTGAATTGTGAAATGATCCAGTTAGAGCATGATTTAGTTAAACCAATAGAAATCACCATTTTACTCAAGCATTTTGCCCATTTACTTACTATTTTTTCTCTATATTACTCAAGCATGCATATGATTAAATGTCAATAGCATATGTATAAATGTATTTGTTACTGTAATTCGGAGCAGGATTACTGGCAGCTTTGTGTTTGAGTGATTTTATTGCAAGGTGCAAATGGAACAGAGTGGGTTTCCTCTCTGCTCTGCTGCTGTTAGATCGACAACCTGAAAATGTTTCTGAGGTGGGAGGAGAGCACAGCAGCTCTCACTGCACTTTTATTTCTTTAAATCAATCAAAACGGTATCATTAGAACTATGAGAAATTAATAGTATTGTCTTAATAAACAGAGGAGACTCAGTCTATATCCATTTATCTTTATTGTTGTGTTATATCTGTGATAACCATAGAGAGAAGTTGCATGTCTCAGAATACAAGGACTGTACCAACTCAGGTAAATCATGGGGGTAAATACACCACATTAATCTTAATTTGAAGTTTCAAACATCAAAGAGATTTGACTGAAACAGCAATTTGACAATAACTTCTGCTTTTGAAACTCTACATCATTTTTCCAAATCCGTGCGTTTCATTAGAAAAATACACGCCAACTGAAGCCTAATTCTGATTTTAGTCAAATGGGCCAAAACTGTTATCACCTCTCGGTCCAGTCCAGCTTGGTTGAGGATGATGAGTCCAGTTATTGGGTTGATGTTAAACATGTTGGGACTGGGCTCCTCTGGAGTCTGACTCATTATACGGTACCTGATATCAGAGTTGTCAGTATTTGGCTGATCAGCATCTGTGGCCAAAACCTTAATCACCTCAAAACCTAATCAAGAGAAAACGATGAACAACAGTGAGAGCAGCAGCTATTAAGACTTCGGCAAGATCTACTAAGAAACTCACTGCCTACAAATAATTTATTCTTGATGTTGAATTTTTCATATGTTATATGTTTACAAGGGTGAGCGGGAAACCCACTAAACTCTGCTATCAGTAAGAAATACAACAAATTTGTTTATGTTTTTACTGGACTATGGTTTACATAGTCTTGTAAAAAGGTGGAAAGTCTTCTCTAAATTTCAAAGAGACAAAGCTCAAATTGCTTTATTGCAGGAAACACAACCAGCTGATATTGAGCATGTGAGATTGAAGGCACAGGGAGAACATGCAAACTCCATGCAGGATCCAACGCAGAACGTTCTTGCTGCAATGTAGCGCTACCAACTATGGCACCGTGCAGCCCATTGTATTGTATTAATATGCCTTTCAATTAATTGGCCTATATAATCTAATAAATTCTAGATTGTATGATGTGTAAGAGAAGCTGTCAGACAGCGAGCTCATTTTACGATCATCTATCATTTTATGTCATATGACGTATGACATACGACATACATACAGATCTATGTATTGGAGATTATGTATTTTCTGTCAAATATGTATTGATATGTATTTTCTTTTTAAAAAAGAAATTGACAGTTGCTGACAAATGCTGACAAAAACATGATTTTTTTTTCCTCACTTCTTTTCAGAAGCAGCTGTAATATTTCGGGGCAGAATGTTCCATTTGTCCATTGATGCAGCGTGATTCTCTCAGTCCGGATTAATGGGAGGATTATTCAGAGCCATCAGGCATCCAAGCCAGTAGCATTCGGAGCTCAAATACTCCATCTTATCTTGAGGGTTTGTGACTTCGTGTGCAGATAAGGGTTTCTGTGAGCCGTTGCCAATTTCTTTTAAAAAAAGAAATTGACATAATCTGAATGACAGCATCAACCTGCTGTCATTCAGATTGATGCTTTGATTTGAAATGTGATGTCAAGGATTGGATTATATTCTGTTACCAATCTGTCAAATTCGATCAATAAATGTGTAAAAATAAAAGAAAGCAAAAGGTATTTAATTTTTTTATTATTATTATAATTAAATTTCTCAGTAAGAAGGTTAAAGTAAAAAAAAAAAAATCAAAGCAGATACTTTATCTTTCCCAGAGAGTGGAATGTGCATGTCAAGCAGTCCAACAGTTATGTAATAAATAATTAAAACATACACATATACATTCATGAGTTATTTTGAAAACTAACTTATGTAATTGAATAAATAATTAACCAAGAGCCAGATCTGTCCACTGACAAGTCATACTTTAACCAGTTAATGTGCGGTTGGGATCTACCCCAGTTAATGAGCTTTTCCACTATATGATCTGTTCCTCACTATCGTGGGCGGGACGTGAGCGCACAGGAGTTGTGGTCAACTCTCCTCTGATGTTTGCAGCAACACTCAGCAATGAAGAACCTCGAGGTTCTGATGGTCTCAAATCAACCCAGATATTCAATTTTGTCTTATAGGAATTCATTGCTGGTCCAAACACAACAATAAAGACACAGATCAGCTGAGTATTACCTTATGCATATAAATATAATTACAATCTGGTAGTTTTTTTTTATGTGCAACCTTTGCACATAAAATGTAATGCAGTCAAAAGATTTAAGTGTTCCTCCTTACTGAGCAGCTATATGATGGTCTGGCCTGTTTTTAGAAACAAAAGTACAAAACCAAATTTTTGCTTAATATGCCCCTTTTTATTTTTTGTTAAAATTGTTCAAAGAATCTTACCAAAAGTTCCTAGCAGACTTGCTACTTGTAAAAAGTGAATCATTTTCTTTTTGCATGTTTGTTATCTGAATCCTGGGACTTTACCTTTTTCGAGGCCTCTGGAACTTCTCCATTATAGGTAGATTGATTGAAAACAGGTTTGTTGTCATTCTGGTCAATTACATTGATTATAATTTCCATAGGGTCCTCTGCATTTGCACCACCTCCAACTGACTCAGCATGGGCTTTAAGCTGTAAAAATGACAATTTCAATATATTAGAATAACACTGTCTCTTTTTATGTTCCAAGAAAAGCTATATTTCATTTTCCCCATATTATAAACTATACTCAGAATATTTAATCAGAGATTACCAGTTTTATTTGAGTATTTTTTGTATATTTGATACTTGTTTCAGAATGTTTTTATCTTGAATTTCTTCTATATTTCATCTTTAACAGTGAATAGAAAAGCATCAGGCTAAAGGTACGAGAAAAAATACTGACCGTGTACTTGTCCTGTTTCTCTCTGTCCAGTTCCTGTGTGACATACAGATTACCATTGTCTCTATCCATGGTGAAAAGATTAACAGGAGGCTGATCAGCTCCAGGACCAGTGATTCTGTAAATGATCTTCTTCACTTTATCTTCATCAGAGCGAATCTGGACAACAGAGACCAAGGTTATATTCAAATACCATTAAACAAAACACACACAAAAATAGAGGAATACATCTTAAAATACAAGGTATAACTGAAAGAGGAAAGAAAATTACACAGAAATATCCATTCATTTGAATTTCTCTTACCTGAGCAAGCCACAGGGGATAAGGTCCTCTGCTATTCTCAGTAGCACTAAGAGGAGGGATAACCCAGTCTCTCTTCCTCCTCTTCAGTCCTGGATTAGGTCTTGGGAAATTCAGAATGGGAACCTGAGGAGCATCCTAAGGAAACAAATATTTTCTAATCAGTAAACAAATAATTAGAAATACAAATGCATCCCGACTTCAAATTTAACACAATAAAGTTTCTTATGAAGCTCTTAATATAAATCTTCTCTGGGCCAGAAGTTCAAATGAACCAGTCATGAAAAGAAATGTGGGACTGGAAGACAGTACAAAAAAAAAAAAAGCATGGAAGGAGAAAATGTTAAATATAGCCACAAAGTGGCAGTGTTTCACAAAAAACATCTCTGCTTTAAAAAGCATTTGTTCAACACAACACAGCTCCTTGGTAGTGTGAGGGTTGTACAAGTACAGTCCACAAAAAGTATTCACTTCTATTTAGCAGTGAAGCGCTGTGTCAGTCTATTGTAATCTCTGTTTTTATTATGGTTCAGTTTAAACAAAAACTCAGCAGACTTAGTGGACTTAGTATCCCTGCATGAAATTTATGCATTTTAACATTGTCACGAAAACATTGTAACAAACGGATCAACACCATCACTCTGCAACTTTCTAAAACACCCTGCTCATTAATCTTTATTATGGAGATATAAAATTTGATCCACTTGGATTGTGACTTTGATGCCATTTTTGTTGTTAACAGACTCCGCATTTGATCAAACTTCTCCTAGGAATTTCAATCAATCAGATTCAAACTTGACCAGTTTGTTCATAGTGCATGTTCAAATAAACGTTAAGGGGCAAAAAACATCTCTTAGAACCGTGGTCCAAACCCAACAGGAAGGCTTCCATTTCGATCAAAGCCACCATTTTATTTTTTTATAGATATGTACCTGAGCAAACTCCTCTTGAAATATAGACTCCAGTCACTCAACAGAGTCTTGAGGCATTGAAGATCAGAAGTTATCAAAAAAAAAATATATTTTTTTAAACGTCAATGATGTGTGCAACCCTCAAAACCTGACTATTCGCCAAGAAACATCAAGGTGCTGTTATGGATTCAGCGTTTTCCTCTCCTTTGTCCTCTATCTGCTTACATGACTGAAAGACTGAAACTGATTAGACTACCCTTTAGGGAGGAAACAGGTTGGAGAAAAGAATAAAAAGATAAATTCACGCTACAATCTTCACCTCACTTGGAACGGCACAAAAACGTTGATTATAACGGGATGACAGTGCCAAAGCTCCTGCGGTCGCCACTGAGATGTATGTGGCTTTAAATTTTATTGCCTCTATAAATCAATCAAACAACAAGATTTTTTCTTAGATAAAATCCAAAAAACATTTTGATGACAATCTGAAAAAGCATGTCAATCTGCAGGCTTAACAAAAATGAATAAATAAATTATTTTCATACCATATCATATACCACATCCATGTCTTCCCTACCTGTTTAGTGGCAGAGTCCATCTCAACCTGATCATGAAGCTGGATGTTGTGGTGCTGCTCACTATTTGGATGGTTATTCCCATGATGATGTCCAACATACAGCACCATGGCGGGTACAGTCAACTTCTGACCCTGTGAGTCCCAGGAGTGGATGAAGAAGTCCCGGTGACCCTCATGAAGGACAACTTGTCTCTTTACCTGGAGTAGAAAGATCAAAGTAACTTTATCACAGCTTAATGTCAGAAGAGGGTTTGAAAAATAGGACTTCAGGAAGATGGTCTTAAATCTATTGTTTCATTGAATTTGTGACAAACAGCCTCACAAGAAGGATTGTGGGGTTTTTTTCCCCTTTCTTTTAAAAATGTACTTAACATTGTAATTTCAGCAACACCTACCCATGCGTGCATCCCATCACCTTATTTTCAGAAAAGTTCAAAATGACTTGAGTAAAGGCTGAGTTGCATTTTCACACAAAATGTTTTCAACAGGTAGTTTATATATCCTGGAAAAGTGTCCAAATATTGCTAAACTAAATCGATAAATATTTCAGATGGCTGTCAACATGTTGTAGCTGTCCAATATTATTTATTTAAAGGTTTTTCTGGCCTTTTTGGAGAGTGTTCACCCAGATGTCTTATTGGCAAGGCCAACTTAGGGTTAGGTTTAGAGAACTATATTTTAATAATGATTGTTAGATGTTGTAGTCCCCAGGGGGCAGCACTGAGCATCTGAATTCAGAGGAAATACTGGCACAGCAAAGTTGGCAATGGAGAAAATCTTAATGTCTATAAAAAGTGCTCAAGATGGAGGTAGTCTGTGCCATCACTGAATGCACTGTGTAAGAGGCAGGATTATTCTAACACTAGAGCGTGTGGGCGGTGTTGAAAGCATGTCTACAAATGTCATTTTGAAATCCATGAGCAAAATACTTAATTCTTCAGTTTTATTGTATTTTCCAGTCCACACATTCAACACTCACTGTGCATTTACATAGAAGTAAGAATGAAACATTTGGGTGAAGCAAAAATGTTCAATATTTTGTCTTACAAACTTAATAGCTACGTGCCATTTACACTTAAAGCATTTTCAACTGCAAAAATACAAATATAAAAAAATTAGTTGGAGAAAGTTGATTGGATTTGGTTTAATTTAGGGGTATTAATACAAGAGCATACCACACAGTTCAGAGCTGGAAACCATGCAGCCTTTCTATTCACTTCCTAATTATGCTCTTCTTTGCTCCCTAAAATACTTTGTTTTGAGGTTCCAACCAACAAAAATGAGAAAATGTTCAAGAGGTATGCATACTTCAGCAAGCAAATGAAACAAAATGGCTTAAGAACGTTTTGATGGGAAAAAATGCAATATTAGTGTTTTGATTTTTTTGTTTCTTTTTCCAAACTACCCTGAAGCTGTACATCTGACCATACTTTTGCATCAGTACAGTTCAAATGTATAACATTTGCATGTATAACATTTTGTAAGTTGTGCACCTGTAAGGATCTTTATGTAAACATGGACTAAATATCTCTGTCACTCACCGTTACTACTCCATCTGTTTGGACCACAAAGCGGCTGTCATCTGTGGTGAAAAGAAATCTGGTACGGCCTGTGCAGTCACTGAAGCCAACTGGAAATCAACAAAAATCACAAAGGTTCAGATACAGAAATAACTGAGTTATGCTACCAATACCCAAGTGCTACTTCACAAGCAAATATGAAATACTTGAGTAAAATGCAAGGTCTTGTGGTAAGTAATAATTTAAATATTGCCATCAAAACTGAGTTTTTTTTTCTTCAAAAACGCAACCTTACATTTCCTGTAAATTCAGACTTCACCCAGTCTACACTCAGTCAATTCAATTCCCTTTATTTTTTATACACCAATTCACTACAAATGTCTCAAGGCACTTTACCTGCATTCAATTTAATTTTATCACACATACATAGTTATCAAACAGCACATGAAGCTTGGTTCATTATTCAAACTAGTTTATAAGTCATCTATTCAAGGAAACCCAGCAGATTGCATCAAGTCATTGACTTGTAGCAAGGATTGCAAGTCAACATACATATAGTTCTACAAGTATCCCTATATAACTCATTTAAAATTTGTTACCCACTTTCTATCAGTCTTTTTGGGAATGAAAAAGTCATGGAAAAGTCTGTGAAACAAGTTCCCATTGGTAAGTGGAGCTGAAATGTAGAAGAAGTGCATGGATTATCACAATTAGGGCCCAACATGAAATGATTCTGCTGTAACAGCAGTTTAAACGGGTCAAACAAAGTGATTGCTAAACTAAATGTTGCAACAAATAAGCAATAGAATATACACAAGACAAACATAGAACCTAACCCTACTTTGTGTCAGCTTTTGTTCAGTGTGTGCAACGCCATTTGAAAAGTAAGCAGAACAAGTTCAGGGACAAGTTGAGACCTGACTGAATATTATCTGAGCTGCAGAAATGAGTACAACACAAGAACTGAACAACTACTTCACAAAAATCACCCTTCTAAGCTAAAACACAAGTAGTATTTGAAACCAACAGCAGCAATAAAAACGAGACATTGACATATTCTGATCAGGGAAGGCTCGCCGTACCTTTGCCCAATCGTGTGCCTTGCTTCAGGTGTTTTCTGGTCGTTTCGAATATTAACAGCTCTGACTCAAATCCAGGTACACATGATGACTCCTCTGCAGCTGCGGCCTGGAAGATAACAATGAGCATGTCATTCAGGCCTGCAATCATGGGTGTGTAACAGGAGAATACACACACACACACACACACACACACACACACACACACACACACACACACACACACACACACACACACACACACACACACACGGAGGATTAAACAGATTTTATTTTAGAACAGTTTGAGAAAGCAGAGAAACATCCAAAATGTTGCTCAAACAGAAAGTGCTTAACAGTGACAATGTGTCAACATCTTCATTTTAATAATGCAAGAGCTTTAGGACAAGAGAGTGAAAACATATTTCAAGATATTAATAGTAAAAAGCCAGTAAGTTCACACAATCAGCAAATGATACAGTTGTGTTTTTAAGCCCATGTTTCAGAGGCTGTCAGAATGATCTCTAAAGCCTCAGGAATATCAAGAGGAATGGTCATAACTTTTAAAAGTCAGAGATGGAAGTTGTCAGTAGCTTTTTTACCTTTTGGAAGGTAAATACAGTTAGCATAGAAGTTACAGAAAGGTGACAAACTAGCCACAGCGATGAAAAGCTGCCAACCCAGTTCCTGATGATTTCAGCCATTTAAAAAAAAAAAACAACAGCTCATATCCATGGCACACAGTAGATTAATCCATTTTAACCCTTTACATTTTCACAAGAGGCCATCGATAGGTTTGTCTTTTTTCTTCTTCTTTCCTTTCAGCTATAACACTTTATTATATTACTATGTGGCTTGAAGTGACTTAGGTATCATGCATCAAACACTGCATCAACATGTGCAAAAGTCTGTTATACAAAGAGCAAAAAAAACAAAACAAAAAAACAATTGCTAGTTGACCAAAAGCATAGATGACGCTATGCATTACAGGAATGTTACAGCTACTATACAACTGTATAATAAATATTCTACAGAAGAAACAGTAACAACCTTAATAGACTTGCTAGGCTGTAGATGTATGATATCTGCTAATGTCACAGCGCATTACATAGGTTCAAAATATTCCTTCATTCTCAGCATGCAAGAGCTTCTGTTTTGTCTTCAGCAATCATTGCCTCAAAAAAATAAAATACTGATACTTAATTTGGGAATCTATATTACAAGCAAATAACATGCATAAAAATCCAACCTTGCTTTGAATCGCAACCCACTTATTAGGAAAATCGCTTATTAGGAGTCTAAACTGCTTACGGAGATCTATGAAAGGTTTTTTTTTTTTTTTTTTTTTTTTTTAAACATAACCTAAAATGTCAATAGATTAAATGATTGATTTTTGTTCCAGTCAGTTTCCTAGGTTGGGCAATATGGACTTAAAATTTTAAATGACATTTCTAATCATATTTATTGCAATAATAAATTTGCTGATAGAATTTTTAATTCACCATTTTTTGACTAGATCTTTGTATATATTCTTGCTTAAGGTGCAAAGCATCAAAAACTGCTTCAAAATCAAAAACCGAGCTGGTATCAACAATGTTACGTCATTTCAATTTCATCCAGTTGTGAGACTAAACAGAACGAAAGTCTTACATTCAATCTTACTCTAAACTGTAAATGCTACATTTACAAGTTATATTTCTAACCATACCACTGGTTTTGGGTTAGTAAACAGACTCAGGTAAACTTCACTATCAACACCTGGTGACTGACTTACCATAATTATTTTATTTTTCACAACAGTGATAGAAACACCTAATGTGTTTTAGGTCTATAAAACGAAACAGTACATTTATATCCAGCCAGCCTCTCAGGATGACTTGCACTATAAAGCTGTTTACAATAAAAGCTTCTTATCTCGATAATAAAAGAACTTCAACTTGTATCAAATTATTTTCGTCACACAAAGCAGATTATTATTTTTAAACCAATGATAATTAAATTAACATCGGTTAATTTAATTACCAATGTTCGCGTTTTAAGTTAGCTATCGTTTTTCCAGTCTCGTGTTTGAAATGTTTTTACGGTTTACGAAGGTCTCGAGTTTTTGTGTAATTATTTCTATACAAAATAGTCCAAGCAACAAATTTCTACTGTTTGAAAGTCTACAGTGACGTCACCTGCCGTGTGGAAGAAGACCCTGATTGGACCTCACTTTTAATTTCTAAAACAATCCAACATGGCGGTCAGCCCGCAGTCAACGTCACCGACGGAAACAGGGCGAGGCACTGCTTCACCGTTGTACACCGCAACGACAATTATTCATTAAGCAATTGGTTTTAGAGCAGCCGCGTGCTTGGGAAGTCAGGAGTTTTCATACACTTTCACCTTTAACTTCGCAGTCACCCCAAGAACCTCCTCACAGCTGCACACAACACCGACAAGAAGCCGTAACTAAAACCAAATTAAGCTTTGACCTAAAAGCCTTTTTAAGCACTCTTTGAAGAACTGGATAGTAAACACAAGTAAATGAACAGCAAACACTCTAAAGCTACAGATATAACCAACAGCAAAGCATGTCGAATTTAAAATAAAAGTCAAAACAGCGGGAAAAACTCCTACCTGGAAAATGACGAATAAAACGCCCAAAACCGCAAACCAGGCGGTCCCCATTTGTGTTGTAAGCCTCTTATAAAATCCTTCTCGTAGGAAAAAAAAACAACTTTCTTTGTATTCCGGTGCGCAGCGTCTCCTCTGTACTCTGTAAGGAGTTTGAGCTTCTGAATGCGAGCAGTTCCGAGAGCTGACTCAGGTACTCTCAGTGTGACGTCAGCTCACAGGTGCGCCCGGATCCGGGCTTCCTCATACGGTCAAGAAACGCCACACCTGAGGAAGCAGAAACCAGAAGTTTCGCTTACTTTTGTCTTCAGAGAAGCTCGCGGATTTACAGAAGATAGAGGTCTGTGGCATCCATGTGACTCACTGTAGACAGTGAGCCATGTCTAACTTCAGTGAGCTGCTCTCCATTTAGTCTCATTTCCTTTTACTGACAATTTGTCCAATGAAGATCCCCCTCCCCCACCTCCCTCTCTCTCTCTCTCTCTGTCTCTCTCTCTTTCTCTCTCCCTCTCTTTGTCTCCCATCCACATATTCAATCACAACCATATTTCTAACTAACCATATATCAAACCAGTCCTTTAAATCTGCATTTAGCATATGAATATAATGCCAAAATAAACAGAACAATAACTGGGTCACTAGACTCAAACTTGAAACTGTAAACATGTTGACGTTTTCAAGATGTCAAAGTAGCTTAAGTTTCAAGTTCCCCATTTTCATTGAACAAAGAAAAGGAGCATATTTTTTGACATCCAGAAATCGTCTGGAAAACACAGAGCCTTCATGAAGTTTCAGTTGACTAAACGTATGTTTACATAGAAAACACTCAGCCATAAGTAAAAAAATAAAAGGATGAATATTGGTTTGTGGAACAATGTTGTCCACTGCTCTGGGTGTCAGTCATCTGTAAAGAATGACAGGGGCAGAGGAGTTGTTGTTTGTTATTGTGGGGTACTATTGGTGATCTGAATGGCATGGCTGGTGCGTTGGGGTTGCCAGTCCAGTGACCGTTGCCACACTTGTTTGTTGTCGTCCCTGGTTTGAGTTGTCATTCTTGTCCTCTCAGAGATTTGCAGGTGTTGACTCTCAGGTCAACCGTGCCTCCTTCAGGTTAAATGAGTTGCTACAGGAAGTTCATGCTTAGTTCAGCCAGCAACATTTCCATGCTGATTTTTGGCCTAAGTGAAACCTTCCGACAATCTTAAGGACACAGAGATCATCAGGATGGTTCTTCTTAATTTTCAGAAATATTCCGGCCATGTAACAAATGTTAAGCGATCTAGTTCACTTGGAAGGACACTGGGATCTAAAATCTGGAATATTCAGCATGTTGGATTGTCCTGACCTCATGTCACATCAGACGTCCCCTGAAGAGAAACAAAAACTCAACTTGTCAACTGTGATCAGTCAGAAACTGAGGCGACTGAATGGCATCCCAGAAAGTTCTGTTCAGTTTTTTCTCCATTAAACAAAATCCATAGAACAACAAATGTGATTATGTTTGTCTATTAATATCTAGAAATAGAAAATATGAAATAATTAATATTACTGAAGATTTCTGAGTTTCACCACTTCAAAATTGTCATTTTGGAGAGTCAATTTGTAAAACACCGATGGGAATGTTGCGACCATTATTAACCTGTTGTATACTGAAAACCTTTGAGTGAAACACGGGGAGTGGTTGGAGAGCAGTCAAGTTACACAATCTTTCACCAGTCATTCCTCTTACCCACACATACAAAAGAGTGAGGGGGAGGAAAGAAGCAAACAGTCAATCTAAAGTCATCACCACTTGGACAGATTAAGGAAGATGTGATGGGAGAGGGACAAGACAGGAGGAGGAATGAGTGGGAAGAGTGGGAGGAAGACAGCAGTGTCAAATTACGGTTTACGGCTTCTTGGGTTTAAAGGTTGAGTGATTCACTTCCTGGTAATCTAAGCATGTAAAAACACATCCAAAAATGTCTGTGCAGCAATTTCTTTCACCCTCCTATAAATATTCTGTTCTTAAAACAAAGTCCCGAAATCTAAAGAAATAAACAATTAACTATTTGCACCAATTTCAGACTCAGGCTAACTGCAACAACTTTAAAATCAGATTTTAGATTAGATATTACTAAAAACCAACAGCATTAATATGCAGTAAAAAAATTCAATTTGATTCCAATTCAATTAAAAATCCTTACATGTAAAGGGAGTTCACTCTTTTGAGTGTAAATGTAAGTGGCTGTATAAATATCAGTAAGTATAATTGGCAAGGCAACGCTGTAAAAGTGAGTACTTTACTGCTGCTGCTGCCTTAAGTTCCACATACAATCTATTTCCAAGCTGCAGTAGAGCAATGAGGACATTCTGATTATGTAAAAAAATTAATTAATTAAGAAGAGGGAGAAATGTTGGCTCAATGGGATCAACATTTTCATCACGACAGCCAAAAACAATTTGCAATTGAATGTTTATACCTAAATCCATGCAGGCCTATTCTAAGGGGATCAATAATATTTACTGTGATCCACAGAAAGATAAAAGATTTGTTCAAAATAGTTGAATATTCAACAGCAAAATTGAAAAATGTTTTCGTTCTTGTCAAGAACATTCGCAGAGAGATGGTAAAATCAGATATGATACAAAATAATTTCACTTGACTAAATGCTTTAGGTTTTCAGATTTCACTCTGTTTCCTCCAAATGTAACATTTATTGTTGAAGTCAAACAGTTCCATGTTTGTTTCATGGACATATTACCAAAAATGAAAGGAGTTATGTCTCGGGGACTATAATCTGTCTGGGAGGAGGTGGAGGAATTCAATCTTCACACAGATTATCTGTCTCATGCTTTTCTGTGATAGTTTCAGCAAATATGAAACAAAAAAAAAGATTTTAATCAAAGTTACAAACTTTTTGAAGAATTGTTTTCTTCCTCTGCGATGAAACCTTTCAGACCACGTCACTCTCTGGAACACACCCTGTCTCCTTCCTGAGAAGGAGAAATTACAACATTAGGCTCTAAGATTGAGAAAAAGCTGACAAAGTGCCAAAGCAGAGAGACTGTGAAAATGTTTATTAGCACATTCTATGCTTTGTAGTTCTACGTTCTTGGATACAAAATTTCATTTTCTTCTTTTTTTTTCCATTTATAAAAACAGCCCATGTAGCTGTGATGACATGATTCCTGATTTCTAGGATTACCACGGTATCAGTGCAGCAGCAGTCATGCTAACTGAAAAAAAATAATTACAATGGAAACTATATGCAGTGAAATAAAAGTTTTTGGATCGTCTAATTATGCATCATCTCAGACGTGTTGCAGCAGTGAAGTAAGGTGTGGGTGTCAAAAGGAAACATGGCAGCACGATGTAGGTTAGCAAAAAAATACAAATGAATCTGATGATGATAATAGCAGAGTTAGACACTGGTATGTTAGCAGGACAGTGGCGAACAGCAGCTATTCTTCAACAAATTGACTTAAAACAAAGAGATTTAAGGTGTTGCAATGGCATAGTTAAAGTCCAGACCTCAATGATGTGAGGTCTGGACTTTACATCAGGTGAAGTGCAGACATCACTGAACTCTGTGTGAAGTGAAGTATTGAAGCAGAAAGAGCAAAACTGCCTCCGATGTGAAGGATTCATAGTGTAGCAGGGAAAACATCCAGTTCAAGGTCTTACCAGATTGTTACTTTTTTCCATGACGAATTCTTTAAGATTTTTTTTTCTCTTTGCAACATTAAATAGATGTCAATAAATTGCTATGTCTTAAGAAACTAAGCAGAAAAATGCAACATTTTTATCATTAGAAGATTTTACTCCTTTGCTACTGTAGCACATTTGGTCCATGACATCATTTGATAATGCTCAAATATTATGAAATAAAGGCCATCAAATTGATAAAAAATGTTTTAAAATAGTGAAGTTTTACAGGCTGGTGTAAAGCTGCACTATGTAACTTTTGTAAAAAAGATGTTTTATTTACATATTTGTAAAAACTATCACCATGTCGTGACAGCATGGTACGAGGCTGATAATGCACAGACTATTTGTCATTACTTCAGACGACGACAGCGGCTCTGGGAGGAGGTGGAGGAATTCAATCCTCACACAGATTATCTGTCTCATGCTTTTCTGTGACAGTTTCAGCAAATATGAATAAAAAGAAAAGATTTGAATCAAAGTTACAAGCCGCAGCTTTAAGTAAGTCTGCTAAGAAAAAATTGGCATTTTATTTACAGTTCACCTCATACATTTAGCTGAATAAGATTTTTCAGACAGGCTTAGGTTTTTTTTTTATTTTGTGCAAACTTAATCTTGTCATCACAGAGGATTCATAATCATTTATTTTTTAATAGCAACCACATCAACGTTCAAGGAAAAACTAAAATCTACGCAAACCAATGATGTCAAAAGAATCTGCAGCATGTAAAAAAAAGTGAAGTTTCATTGTGCGATTGAAGTAGTGCAAACCTAAAATATCTTGATACATTTTAATCGTACACAACATAGAAATCGAAGACATGTTGATATTTTAAGTAAACAGTGTTTGGTAGTTCTGGTAACATTTACTTCAGTAACTTTTTTGGGGAAAAGGTACTAATATGAGTAATTTTACTGCACTGTACTTTTTCTTTTACTTGAGTAGCATTATTATTAATGAATGGATTGATTTAGCATTTAAGAGATTGGAAACATTAGATTCTTAGATTTTTGCAACCTATGCAAATTTAGTGTAATTGTCAACATTTTGTATGCCACTGTCCTTATTGTTTATTTTGTGTTAATAAATGTGGTTATTTTATTTGAAAGCTTACATAAATATTTTTTGTGCAGAGTAGACAAGCTTTTTTAAACTAAAATCTTGTCTACTCTGCTTTTAGTAGAGCAGACTAAAAGCTACTAAATTTGTCCAGCATTAGATTCATCTAATGCTGGATAACAAATCCAGCATTAAATTTGTTATCCTACATACATTAAAGAAGCATGGTGTCATCAAAACATATTTTATTTTCAAAACTGAAATAGTCACTTGAGCAAATGTTCAAACCGTTCTGCAGGTTTTGCTTGAGCAGAAATGGTCCTAAAGGTTCAGAGTTAAACCTGCAGAGGTTTTTCTGATTACAGTTGTATGAGTTTATTGAGAGTGAGGTTTCGCTAATTGTTGAAAGTGTTTTATTTTTGACAGTCAAAGTTTCAGCTTTGGTCGAAACTTGCAGAGCCACAACTTTCACACTCAACAGGAAAGAATCTCAGTAGATCGCACACACAACGCTGACCTTGCATCCGCCTGAGATTGTCGGTCCCAGTTCTGATAATGACACATTCCACCTATCATCATTATATTCTACTCCCTTTAAACCTCCTTTTACTCCTCTTTCTATTTTCCCTTCAATAAGCCACCTTGTCCGTTCACTAT